AAATTTGGAAAAACTTGATTGATATTTTTACATTCTCTGGATACTACATACAAGGTGCTTTTTCTATCACACTTACATACGAGATGGATCATGGCGTTTAAATCGACGAAGGTCCCACCTTCTCGCGGCTCCCTGGACGCGAACCGCGTTGTAAATCGATCTCTCACACCGTCGATTTGAAAAGTAATCTCCGTGAGCAGATATATGTAATTGTTTCTCCTATGCTCTCTCGAGGTCTTCGACGCTACCGCTGGTATTTACAAACATCTTACCATCTACTCTGCGGACGCAAAAAGCGTCGTGTTTGCGCGTCGCGTTCGGCGAAGTGAAGTATCTCCCGCGACAATACCAGTACCGTCTCGTCGCAACTTTTTTGCGACCGTGCCGTCGCAAATATTTGAGCTTAGTTTTCCCGATCGAGGTACCTGGACAGTTTACAACCTTGTCGTGCAGGCAATCCGCCAGATTCCCCTCGTTCCCGTGGCACTGTATTCCGCTGATCGATATCGGCATCACCTCGCCGCCGAAGAAGTCGGTCTGTGTTGCGACGGACGCGTAACCGAGGCCCAATTGACGGCAGACGACGGCGGCCTCGAGCATGGACCAACTGTCGCCGCAGACGACACCCCAATCTGAAATCGAATTCATCATATTTCGCGGGTTCACCGGATGCTCGTCGAGCGTCCTCGTGATCTCTCGCTATCGGAATTCGGAGCTCGTTCATTCGATAAAACAGAAAGTATCGTGTTTCGTTACAATTGTCAGCTGCATTATGATTATTTTCTCTCTCCGAATTGTTTAATTTAAATGAAAACCACAGAGAATTTTATAGTGAAAGTTATAGAATTTTATAATCGAGCAGTGGGACGATGTTCTGCAGTGATTGACTATCCTTTTTTGTGCTGTTCATATTTTAGGGACCGGAATGTGCTATGAAGAAATTTTTAGCGAAAATTATGTTCCTTAGCAAGACAAATCTTAGTAACAGTCTGTACTACTAGAAATATAACAGAATTGAAAAAAATTATATGGAGAAAAGAAAAGCTATATCCTTTTTACAATATAACAGCTATTTCAGTTGTACTGCAATATAGTATAGCTATGTTTCAGTTTCGTCAAACTTTTATAGGGTCGACTAAATTCTGCAGTTTAAATTCCTACATTAGATTGTTCATCTGGCTCAATTTTTATTTAAAGATACTTGACAGTAACACACTCATTTAATCAATGAATTGCTCAGATAGACTTTTATGATTATCATGACGAGAAACAGTCGATGGTGGAAATTTCTTTTAATTACATTGATGAAGAACGTATCCTGTATTGAATTCATCAATAAATTTATATCACGCAATAATGTAAAATTCTTGTGCATTGATGCAGCAACAAAGTTACACTCAGATCTTCATGTCAAATTTTATATGACATGTTTTGAGCCAATTTTCGTTGTTTTTTTAGCATTTCTTTTATATCTCTATTTTGTCACTCTATGTGATAAATATGAATGCCACATATGCACCACTCATAAGTGATATAACCTTTACAAATTGATTAACAAAGTTGCTGCTAATTTTACATACACCTATGTGTTTATCTGAGTGAAAATTTATTAAATCACTTATTGTACAAGCATTCTCTTCTGTTTCACTTTTAACGTGGTAATCATGCATACTTTTGAGGGAGTTCTCGGAAGTGAATTGGAACGAATTAATACTAGTATGTTTGAAAGGCTCTTGGTGTTACTGTCAGGCTGAGCTTGACACTATTGCAGTTTGTGTAGCAAAATTTGCTACAGACATAGATTTAGGCTCTTATTTTGACTTCTTTTTTACTTCAATATTAGAACAATACATGCGCGCGCCATATAGCTAATAAGAAACAATAAAAAATGTAAAATAAAAATAAAATAAAAATTAAATTAAATTAAAATATACTTTAATTAATTAATAATTATAGGGAGAGACAGGGGGAGACAGGGAGAGACGGGGAGAGACGGGAAGAGAGAGAGAGAGAGACAGGGAAAGACAGGGAGAGACAGGGAGAGACAGGGAGAGACGGGGAGAGACGGGAAGAGAGAGAGAGAGAGACAGGGAAAGACAGGGAGAGACAGGGAGAGACAGGGAGAGACGGGGAGAGACGGGAAGAGAGAGAGAGAGAGACAGGGAAAGACAGGGAGAGACAGGGAGAGACAGGGAGAGACGGGGAGAGACGGGAAGAGAGAGAGAGAGAGACAGGGAAAGACAGGGAGAGACAGGGAGAGACAGGGAGAGACGGGGAGAGACGGGAAGAGAGAGAGAGAGAGACAGGGAAAGACAGGGAGAGACAGGGAGAGACAGGGAGAGACGGGGAGAGACGGGAAGAGAGAGAGAGAGAGACAGGGAAAGACAGGGAGAGACAGGGAGAGACAGGGAGAGACGGGGAGAGACGGGGAGAGACAGGGAGAGACATATTTCTTCTGTATTTTTTTTTCGTGATCTAACCAACGTGATGACAGCTATTTGCCTGGTAATTTGACAGGCGCAAACGACACGAAGCAAGCCGCAGCCCTCATGAAGTGAGCTAAGCGAGAAAACCAATTAGCATCGCGGAAAAGCGGAAACAATTAAATCTCTTACATA